TTGAAGGAGGCTTCATTTGCTGTTACCATCCACGAAGAGCAGAAGGTTGAAGAAAGGAGAAAGGACCTTTTGACACTTAGGATGGCCTTAACTCTGTTTGGGCCTTTGATACCATGTGCTCCACTGACCTAAGAGTAAAATAAAAGATTCCAGGGTACTTGCTTGCCTGCGGGTCATGTTTTCAAGGCTTTACCCTGAAAAACAGAGAAAGGAAAAGATACTCTGCACTTGCTCAAGAGCCCACTTTAAGCTCTTTAGTTCTTTTTAATTGCTTATCCAGTTGTAGGAATTTAAGCTCATATAAAATTACATTACCATTGTAAGTTAATTCTAGCTTTACTGATCTGAATGTACACGAATCAGAAATTGTGTTTGCTTGTTTTGTTCATAGAACAAATATGGGAAGGTTAGTCAGACAATTCTAGGTAGGCCATAGAGCTGCGAGAGAAAATACTGTAGGACTTGTGCTTGTTTAACTTTTGGGGCAAAGCTACGGAAGCATCTTACTGGCAAGGAGGAAAGGTTGCTGCATCTTGGCCTTGTCTCCCTTTCGTTACACAATTTGAGGGCCAGCCCATCCACCAATCTACCTGAAGCCTTTACCACTCTGCTGCTGTACTTCTATCAGTCAGTCCTTTGGTCCTCCCTGGATCATTTCATCCTCTTTTTCACTTAGTTCTTTCCAATTGCCTGGCATTTTCCTTACTATCCCCCAATCCAGAATGTTTCTGCCCAAAGGGTATTCTGGCATAATAACAACAACAACAACAACAACAACAATAATAATAATAATAATTAAATAATAATAATAATAATAATAATAAAAGTTGGAAGGGACCTTGGAGGTCATCAAGTCCAACCCCCTGCTCAGGCAGAAAACCCTATACCAGCGGTTCTCAACACTGGGATCGCCAAACAACGCAGTCCGCCATTTTTCCCCTCTTTTCCTGAGCTGTGCTACTCCCTCTTATTCTATTGGCTTTTGAAAGCCAATAGAATAGACTCTATTCAAGAGACTCTATTCTATTGGCGTTCAAAAGCCAATAGAATCTATTGGCTTTTGAAAGCCAATAGAATAGACTCTCTTGAATAGAATCTAATTCTATTGGCTTTCAAGAGCCAATAGGAATTGTCCAGGCTGTCTCTGCCCTTCTCAGCCCGCCAAAAGTCCCAGTCTGCAAACGGTGCTACAAGTTGTCTGCAGCTAAGGCGAGCTTTCTGGATGTTTCCACCCCTCCCTGCTGAGCCAATACTAAATGTAAGTAAAAGAGGGCCAGGGGTGGGAGGTGGGAGGCCGGCGGGTGCCAGGAGGATTGCTGGCACGTGTGGGGCCCAGCGGGTGCCTTACCTCCCTTGGGCTGGGCCAGCTGGTGGCCCAGCCGGTGGTCGGCCTGCGCCGTTGCTGCTGCTTGCCAGCTACGCCTCGGCCGGCGCAGGGGGCAGCACCATGCATGTGCGGCGCTCCCGGGCCGAGGCGGTTGCTGGACAATGGCCTGTGTGCACCCTCGGCCTGCCCAGCGTGCGCTCCAGCCGCAGGAGAGGAGGCGGAGCATGCATGCCTCCTCCTGCCCGCCCGCAGGGAAATACAGGTAGTCCTTGACTTACGATCACATGGTTGGGGGTCGCGGCATTAGGAAGGTTGAGAACCACTGCCCTATACCATTTCGGACAAGTGGCTGTCCAGTCTCTTCTTAAAAATTTCCAGTGTTGGAGCATTCACCAATTCTGGAGGTAGGTTGCTCCATTGGTTAATTGTTCTAACTGTCAGGAAGTTTCTCCTTAGTTCTAGGTTGCTTCTCTCCTTGATCAGTTTCCATCCGTTGCTTCTTGTCCTGCCTTCAGGTGCCTTGGAGAATAGCTTGACTCCCTCTTCTTTGTAGCAGCCCCTGAGATATTGGAACACTGCTATCATGTCCCCCCTCATCCTTCTCTTTGTTAAACTAGACATAACCAATTCCTGCAAAAATTCCTTATGTGTTTTAGCCTCCAGTCCCCTGATCATCTTTGTTGCTCTTCTCTGTACTTTTTCTAGAATCTCAGCATCTTTTTTACATTGTGGTGACCAAAACTGGATGCAGTATTCCAGGTGTGGCCTTACTAAGGCATTGTAAAGTGGTATTAATACTTCACATGATCTTGATTCTATCCCTCTGTTAATGCAGCCCAGCACTGTGTTGGCTTTTTTGGCAGCTGCAGCACACTGCTGGCTCATATTTAAGTGATTGTCCACTAGGACTCCGAGATCCCTCTCACAGTTACTACTATTGAGCAAGGTACCCCTTATACTATACCTAAATGTAGAACCTTACTTTTTTCACCATTGAATTTCATTTTGTTAGATAGCGCCCAGTGTTCAAGTCTGTCCAGGTCCTCCTGTATCTTAAGCCTGTCTTCTGGAGTGTTGGCTATTCCTGCCAGCTTGGTATCATCTGCATCTATCCCCTCATCCAAATCATTGATGAAGATGTTGAAAAGCACTGGGCCTAGAACAGAGCCCTGGGGCACCCCACTACACACTTCCCTCCATGTAGATGCTGAGTACGGCCGGTCAGCCAGCTATGAATCTGTCTGGTGGTGATGCTGTCTACCCCACATTTTTCTATCTTATCGAGTAGTAGGTTGTGATCTACTTCAGGGCTTTTCAACCTTTTCACCCATTGTACCACTTTCAGGATATAGCAACATCCGAGTACCACCAGTCGCCTAGCAAGGTGTCAAAAACTTGATGACCAAAAAGGAAAAAGTGGTAAAGTACAGGTAGTCCTTGACTTACAACAGTTCGCTTAATGACTGTTCGAAGTTACAATGGCATTGAAAAAAGTGCTTCCCAAGCCATAGCCGAACAAGACACCTACCTGCCCACCCAGCGGCGCTCTTCCTCCTGTTTGAGGTTTTCATTGTTGTGAGCATTTCTGATGAGGATTGGCAGTGGGGGTGGGGTGGAGGGGTGTTTGGTTTTTATTCCCCCCATCTGCTGGGTGGTTGCAGCAGGTTTTGGTCACTTCACATGACCCTGGGACACTGTGGCCGTCATAAATATGAATCAGTTGCCAAGCATCTGAATATAAATCACAAGACCCTGGAGATGCTGCAACATTCCAGCTGATCAGTGCTTCTTCTGGGCTCAGCAGAAGCACTAGGATCAGCGCCGAGCTGCAGCTGGAGCCTGGTGCTGATCCTGGCACTTCCGCTGAGCCCTGACAGCCCTGCAACTCCAGTCATCTCTCGCTCAGGCTTGTGCAGTGCTGCCACCGGTTCACCTCATTCCCCTCCCCCACTACCACTTTTCTAGGATGGCTGCATACCACCTGCAAGGTGACAATGTACCACAGGTGGTACCCATACCACTGGTTGAAAAGCCTTGATCTACTTTATCAAATGCCTTACTGAAGTCCAAGTAAATTATATCCACAGCATTTCTCTGATCCCCTAATTTTGTCACTTGGTCAAAGAATGCAATAAGTTTTGTCTGGCATAGTCTGTTTTTGACAAACCCATGTTGCCTTTATTTGTAGTGATTTTGTTTGCCTCTAGGTGTTCGCTGTTTTGTTTGATTATTTTTTCCAGAATCTTCCCAGGTATTGAGGTCAGGCTGATAGGTCTGTAATTTCCTGGATCCATTTTTTTTTTCATTTTTTGAAGATGGGAACTACATCAGCTCTTTTCCAGTCCTCTGGTAGTTCTCCAGTGCTCCAAGATCTTTGAAAAATATAGTTCAGTGGTTCTGAGATGACATCTGCCAGTTCCTTGAGAACCTTGGGGTGTAATCCATCTGGTCCTGGTGATTTGAACTCGTCTAGGCTGGACAGGTGCTCACCATTTTCTTGCCTATCTTAACTTGTATTTCTATACTCTTTTTATGGCACTATTTTTGATAGGTTGGTCTGTTTTTTCCCTTTGTGTAAAGACAGATGCAAAAAATGAGTTAAATAGTTCTGCTTTCTCCCTATTGCTTGTCACCTTCTTGCCACTTTCACCCACTAATGGACCAATCATTTCCTTCACTGTTTTCTTTTACATGTTAAAAGAAGCTTTTTTTCTTATTTTTGACTTTGGTCACAAGCCTTTGTTCATTATGAGCCTTAGGTTTCCTCACTTCATCTTTGCAGGCTCGGGCTATTTGTTGATATTCTGATTTAGTTATGTGCCCCTCTTTCCACTTTCTATTCTTGTCCTTTTTATCTTTCAATTTATCAGAGAGTTCTTTATGCAGCCATGCTGGTTTCTTTTGAGAGCTGTTATTTTTCCTCTTTGTTGGTATTGAACTAGACTGGGCTTCTATTATCTTGCTTTTCAAAATTTCCCAAGCCTCTTGAGTTGTTTTCCCCTGGAGGATTCTCCTCCATGGAATCCTTCCCAAGCCCTCTCTAAGTTTATTGAAATTAGCTCTCTTGAAGTCCAAGACTCTAGTTTGACTGTGTTCTATTGCTTGTGCTTCCATAATATTGAATTCCAATACTGCATGATCACTACCTCCCAAGGTTCCTGTGGCTTCAACACCTTCTATCATTTCATCTTTGTTAGTGAGAATTAGATCCAAAACGGCTAATCCCCTAGTTCCCTTCTCTACTTTTGGGGAGACAAAGTTTTCTGCTAGATTTGCAGGAATCTGTTTGATCTTCCACTTGGTGCAGAGTTTGTCTCCCAGTTGATGTCAGGGTAATTAAAGTCCCCCATTACTATGGTGATGTGCTTCCTACATACCTTAGTTAGCTGACTAGCAAAAAGTTCATCTATTTCCTGGCGTACTAGTATACACCTATGGCAATGTCATTTTTTCTCCCTTTTATATTGACCCAAATGCATTCAAGACAGTTTTCGTCATTGTTGTGCTCTATTTCTGTGGAGATGTAGTTATTTCTTATATAGAGAGCAACTCCACTTCCTCTTTTATTTGGTCTGTTTCTTTTAAATAATTTAAATCCCTTGTGTTTAAATCAAACACAGAGAAATGCTCAGACTAAACACATATATACCAATGTAGGCATTGACCATCAATACAACATATCTCTAGTTTTATTTTTCATATTTCCAGACAGAGCTAGAGAAACAAGGACTACTTTTGTTGCTATGCAGAGAGATTGTATTATTAATTCCTTCTGACATTTAGTCATATTCCACATATTTATTGCAAATAAATGTCCAATGTAAAATGAGACATACAGTTTATTATAATAAAAGTACTTTCTGGTCATTGTAAAGGCCTTTACCTAGATATTTACCTAGTATATATTATGAATCCAAGTAAAGGCTGCATTATTGATATAAACGCATATGTAAACAAAGACAAAAATTAACAGATATAAAATAAACTGCAGAAATTGAAAGCTTTCAATAATGTTTTATAGAAATCCATCTCCTTTGCAATTAAATATTAGTAGCATTACTTCAGCTATAAAGATATGTCTTGTTTATAAGCAACCAACATTGGCAATTGCAGATAGTATAACAGAGTATTTTTACTTCTGAAAGCTAAGATTGAAGGTAGGCTACAAGATTTAAGCAAATATTCTTGGAAATCTACATGACTATAAAGCAGTATCAAAAGGAATTCATCCTGTTAGTCATTTTTTAACAATTTGCTTCTGAACTGAGTATAATATGGCAAGTTAATGTTCTACTTATATTCCCCCGCCCCGGCCCCAACGTTTTCCACAATAAAAAGGTACAATACAACAAACTTTTGTGCAGGTGCTCTTAACCAGACTTGTTCTCTATCCTTTCTGTTTTAATCACTCTATATCAAATGGCATTAGAATGGCTACAATGGTACATTAAAAATAGGAAAAAATAGAATATGTAAAACGGATAAAATCAAATCCAGGATATGGAAGCATATTTGTACTGGAAGTGAACATCCACAAGAGTTACTAAGGATGATTGAAATCAATTCCAAAGGTGCTTTTCAAAAGGCAACTGAACGTACTTGGTTTTTTTCCTTGAAAACGTTTTGCTTCTCAAAAAGAAGAAGCTTCTTCAGTCTTCTTTTTCAGAGAACTGAAGAAGCTTCTTGGATGAAAAGCAAAATGGTTTTAAGGAAGTCCAGTTGCCTTTTGAAAAGCACTTTTGAGACAACCATGACTTGAATGTTTGAGAATCTCCATAGACATTAAAATGAATCATTGACAACAAATACTGATCAGGACAAAATCCAGCTTGCTTATTAATGTTGAAATCAACGTCAACTACTGATTCATATGTTCCTTTCAGAGGCAAAATTACACATTTTAATACATCTAAGATAAGATTTTGGGAAGTAGAGGATGATGGCAGCTCAGGAAGAACAGAAATTATTTTTCTCATAAAGAAAATTTTTTGACATGGCTTTCCTTTCCTATTTGCTTTCTTTTTGAAAGACAGGACTGACTTGACCAATGATTTTATTCCCCATGTTCAAATAATTATTAGGTCCAATATCATGGCCATGTAAGCTAGAACATGAATTCAGATTTTCCCAGCCAACTAGTCTTGGAATCCCTAAGATGGTATTATGAGTATCAATGGACTTGTAGATATCTCCTTTAGGGCCTACCATGGCCCCAATTCCTCACTAATGTTGAAATAATTTATTATTTTTAAAGAAGTAAATAATAGCTGTATTTTGCTACAAAGCAAAGTGCTATTTTCCAGTATTTTTTCCCCAAGAATCCCATTGGTTGCTACATGGAGCTCATAAATATTTCCAGAACATAAACACTGCATCCAACTGCAGTTCAGTGTGTGGCTTGGAAGCATTTTCCTTCCGCCCATTAAATAGGATAAAAATAAGCTGTGGAGTTGGTAAGATACTATACACAAAGGAAAGAAGGGCAGGAAGCATTACCACCTATTTGCATGCTATAAATGAATACTTCTTGGTTGGCTATTTCCTATTTCCAATAAAAGTATAAGGATTGGCTCACGAGATCATTTATATTACCCTCTAGCCCCATTTCTTTCCCTTTAATGAGAGTCTGCCATATTACTTGTGAGCAGTGTTAGATTTTTTAAATTAAAAATACCACCTATTTGCATGCTATAAATGAATACTTCTTGGTTGGCTATTTCCTATACAGCAGTTGTTATGCGAAATATGCATAAAATGCAATCCAAATTACAAAAGTATCCACCAGTGTCCAAAAGGTCGACAATTTGTCTTACAGAGAAGAAAAAAGCTGGTGAAATTTATGGTCTAAAGCAAAAGTACTATTGTTCAGGCCATCAGAAATCAAATACAAAAGTTTGTGTGATGTATAATTTGCAAAAACAAGAGCTCAAGATGGGAAAAACCAAAGCAAGAAGCATTGAAAGCCACTGAAACCTCTCGTTGACTATGGCTTAAAAAGAACCAAAAATTCTGAATATGAGCACTTTATTATGACAAAGTGGGAGAGGCAAATTCAGCAGAGAAGAGAAAGGGACGTTCTTTTTTTTCTTTTTGAAAGATGTCCATCTAATTAGGATTTTTTAAACTTCACATTTGCTTCTTCATTACTCTAACCTAGTGTTTCTCAACTTTGGGAACCCTTAAGATGCATAGATTTCAACTCCCAGAATTCATGCAGACTATATACCGTAGATATATTCATGTATTTTTCTTGATAACAGTAATTCTTCTAGTTTTTTTGACTCCGAAGTTAGCCTTGTGATTTCTTAATGGCCTCCCATCAAAGTGTTAATCAGGGCCTACTTTGTCTAACGTTTGACCATGGACAAGGCCCAACCAGGGGCTGCCTTCTTCTGAGACCTTAATGGAAAGACTTGCTATCTAGAAAGCTTTGTTAACATCCAAACATGTACATATGCAGGGTGAGTGAAATCTTATGTTTCTGTTTTCTGAGTGTTCATACTGTAATGATTGATGTACACCTTATTCATATGTCCCATATGCCCAAAACATTAAATATAAAATATTAGTTTAGATCCAGCACAATATTTGGACTGTGGACTAAATGAAATCAATAGGACAAGTTCATCAATGTACTTTTATATATTTATAAGCAAACATAACTGAGTACTGACAATATAACATAGCTATTGTGGATAATAATACTATGGTATCTGTGGCTTCTAGGCATGCCTCATATAAAGTTCCAATATGCCTCAGAATAAAATGCTGTTGGAGAACATTTTGTTCTCATATCCCGTTTGTGGGATCTTGTTGAACCTGATAAGTACAAGGGTAGTCCTGGTGCACTAAAAAGGCTTCTGGCCAGGGCCTGCATAGTTGTTCATAAAGGAATTATTTTTTTCTTGAAAATGACAAAAATCACGTAAGGAATTGTTGCTCTTTAATAATTTCAGCCAACATTTTGATAGTTCTAAACATGTCTGGAAAGCAGTTTTTCATAAGCTATCATTGCTCAATGGGTGGGCAAATGTTTGCTTACAACTGCCACAGTGTTAAGTACTTTATCTTGGAAGACTTACTTATGAGTCACTTAGATTAGAGCATTTGTTCTCAAGTAGAGATAAAATGCTTAAAAACAAGTGACAAGAAACAAGAAATCAGGCTTTGGCCTTTTCAACTACTCCAAATCATATATGATTGAAAGGCTGTTCTTAGCATGCTATTTAGTCTAGTTTTAGCACAATGTACTTTGCAGAATGATGCCCTCATGTTTGCCATTTGCAGAAATATTACCTTATAAGTCCTCATGTCCATGACAAACTTAATTTGGCCTCTCACAACTGTTATACTGCAAGAGGCTGCAGGGATTTCCCTTATCCTTAGCAAACTGTCATATTCTCATCTCAGCAAGTCAATAAAAGTATAAGGATTGATTCACGAGATCATTTATATTATCCTCTAGCCCCATTTCTTTCCCTTTAATGAGAGTCTGCCATATTACTTGTGAGCAGTGCTAGATTTTTTAAATTAAAAATAGTATGCATATGATTAAATGATGGTGGTATATACATATTTTATTTAACTTTGACGTCCCCCATCCCCACTTTATAATTACCGGTATGTTTGTAATCAAAACTATGAACCCTATTAATTTGTTCAACTACAGTTAACTTCATAATTGCACTATGAAGTTGACTTATTTATCTAAACCAGGCTTTGGGTCAATGTTATTGTACTGAAAATTTCCAACAGTCTCAGCAATTATAGCAAATAATGCTCTGGGGAGCAAAGTTGAGCTATCCTCTTAAATCACAATTTAGACTAACCATACTTTATTTTATGTTAGATATAGACTGTATTTGTATCTCATACTAAGCCATACTTAATGCATAACTTATTAAATAAACACTGGACTGGATTTATACAACACCAAACATTGTTTTGTTTGCTTGTATGCATATACATATGCATATGTAATGAACTATCTGCAAGCAAGCAACCAAGCTCAGAGGCCACCAAGGACCCACATTGTATGGCTCAATTACAGGTCACCACTTGGAGAATCTCAGTCAAAAGGAAATAGAATGTTTCTTATCTTCTGAGTGCCATACTGTAGGAATAGAGAGGCAGGAGCTGATAAGCTTGAAATATTTTTGCATCCCCCCCCCCCAAAAAAAAAGCCTTGAGAGAAATCAAATCATTGGGGAGTAAGGGGAGCAAATATCACAACATGTATGACCATGTGATTATATAAATGCAACAACTTAAATACTCTGTTAGATGTTGGGATACACAGGTAATGGCAACATCATTTGCCTAATCACACTACTGCACATATGGTGTCATCATCTTCACTGCAACACAATTGATAGCAGCATCATATTATCCATTATCAGGTTTTACTCTTAACCAGTTTTAAATCTGGCTAATGCATTCTGATTAAAGAATTGGTTGGTAGGGTGAATTTATATAAGGAGATAGGGAAGCTGGGAATAGTGGATAATTCTGATTTTTATGTTCTCTTTTAGAGTAGCAAGATATAATAATTCAATAATATATACATATGTTGTCAGAAATCTTACTATTTTATTCATTAATCCATGTGTCAATGGCATGTTGACATTTCTTTGGGTTCTTTTTCCAGCTCCGATGCCATCTGAGGTTAGCTATTGTATCTGAATAGTTTTGCCCTAAACTTTGCTTCCAGCTGATAAATTGCTGTTTATTATATTGTTCAACAGCGGTAGAGACTTTTGGATAGTTAATTATATGGTATAGCTTCTTGTTCAAAGATTGTGTGATTGCTGGAAACTTTGTGGCTACATCTGTTAGTTCATCTGGGTCAGTTGAAAGATCTATAACAAAGAAAATAGGTTAAGAGAAATCACAATAAACATAAGCTTAATTTTAGAAAACCAGAATTGTGTAGTCTGATTCCAATTCAGTTAAAAAATTGAATCACTCCAATAACAATTAATGTTATTTAAATTAAGAAAGTACTGTATTCTTGCAATAAATACTTCATCTTTGCAATTCCTCCACCAGTTTTGTTATCATATTAAAATATCAGACACATGAACACACTCTGCAGCAACTACAGAAGAAAGCTATGCCTCTGGAATTCAACAGCTTATATTGTTGGTGACACCTAATTCATAGGTTGCTTTATCTGCTATCTGAACAAACAGAGACAGGGTATGTGCCTATGCTATCAGCAGTTTGAGAGAAGTCACTGGAAAAGGATTTTAAATTGTATGTATCTGCAGAAGTATCTTATTTGCAGAGGAAGAAAAAAGCTATCCTCTTCCACTTTATACATGGTCTGCAGTAAATGCAAGCCTTTATAATCATAGCATTCTCCTGAGTGAGAGCAGAGAAGAAAACTTCACTGGCATTTTACAGTCACCCTTTGAAAGTAGAGATGGGATGGGCAAATAAGATCAAAAAGAAAGAACACTTTGATGCTTTCTCAGCAGGGTGAATTCATTCTGTAAAGGGAGGCAATGAAGCTGAGGACTTGCAAAGCTATGGAAAAAATTGAAGATGTTTTTAATGATCTAATTGGTCCTCCCTTCACGGAAGGGTAGCCTCTCAAGAAAGGGAAAATGTTGGGATATAAACACTTTTGAACCATTCCCATTAATTAATAATTTTATTAAGGAATCACAGGTTACTTGTAGCTTAGGGGCTGCACCCAATGTGGCCTGTAAGGGGCATATGTCTGCATGTACACATTACTCATGAAACCCACATACACAGTAAAAAGTAGAGTGCCCACAAAACTAAGTTATTTTGCCAACCCTTGCTACTACAATTAGGCTAAGGCAGCAAGTATGTGCAAGTCATAAGCCTAGAACTTTATGTGGCTATATTTATTGTTATAATTTAAATAACCTTAAATGTAGTCACATAAAGTTCCAGGTTTGTGACTTGCTTAGTTATAGCAAAAAGGGTTATTTGGCACCTCCAAAGCTTGGACTGACCAGAAGCAGCCTGGGACAGGACTTCCTTCTCAGCCTGCACTGCAGTAGCACCAAGTGATTCTTTGGGGGGGGGGGGAAGCAGGTTCTTTCTTTTATCCAGGACAGCCATCAGGAGACCTTTCTCGGCCTCAAGGGGAGCTGACCTGCTCTGGACCCCAGAGCCCCAGTACATGAATTATAATAATAATTGCAAGCGAGAACTGGTGGAATCACAAAATATACAAAGTAATAGAAAATGAAGAAACTAAAGTGTTCTGGGACTTTAGAATTCAAACAGACAAGCACCTGACACACAATATCCCAGACTTAACAATTGTTGATAAGGACAAAAAAAGCACAGTGAATGTTACAATACCTTGGGACAGCAGAATAGAAAAGAAAGATCGGGAGAAAAACCACAAAATATAAACATCTGCAAACAGAAGTAGAATGACTATGGCAAAAGAAAACAGATAGTACCAATAGTAATAGAAGCCTTGAGTACAATTCCAAAATGTCTAGAATACCACTTGAGCAACATCAGAACTGAAAATATCACCATCAATTAATTGCAAAGGCAGCTTTGCTTGGAACAGCTTACATCCTGCGACGATATCTGTAACACCACCAAACATCCACATCTGCCTATCCCAGGTCCTTGGAAAGGACTTGTTAGGTAAACAAAAATGCCAAACCCAGTCTGAATATCTGGTTGACTATGCAACGAACCATAATAATTATTCTCAAATTGGACACAGTTCAATATGATATTGAAACACAGATTTATAGATCCCAGGAGACCAGAATAGATATTGGATACTTAAAGACACTGCTATTTTTTCTGTCTTCTGCTGTGGGCAGTGTTTCTTGCATTATTTGACCTACTGTTCTCTATTGTACTGTATGTTGAATTAAAACTGCATGCTAACTTTCATTGATACAGATTCTTTCAGGCTTTTGACAGGACCTTACATTTTAATCAATATTCAAATTTTAATCTTCACTCTCCTCTGTTCTTTTACTGAATGGAACAAGGCATAACAGATGCTTTTCACAGTTTTAGGTCTTGTGCTAGTACAAGGCAAGGACTGTGTAGCTAAACATGCGCAATATGGAAGTGAATCAGCTTATTTTGATCATTCATCTCACATCAGAGAATAAGAATGATATTTTCATCAAATGCTAAACCTACCAAACAACTGAGGAGATACGGAGTGGCCATCTGAATAAGCAATGTATTTCCATTTGTCAATTCGCAGCATGTAGGTTGAAGAATTCACATTGCAGCCATGAAACTCACTCAGAATCCAAGGAGGACGGAGCCTTCTAGATAGGGCTTTATATTCTCCCTTTTCTAATATCAAAGTCATCAGTGAATATCCGCTGAGGTTTTTTGGAATGGGGATACTTGCAATGTCTGAAAAAAGTGTCAATTGGATAGAAAACAATTAAAAAGCTGAATTATGCTGAATTAAGAAACAAAATGTATAAAGCTGAGGATAAGGGAACAGAAATTATATCATTTCAACTACTTCACCTTTTTGCTATTCTGGTAATATTACTGTGCCTCTTTTCTTTATGTCTATTTTATGTTCCAAATGGAAGCTAGCAGCACAGAATGATAATCCTTATACTGAATAGAGCTATTCTCATTATTCTGAGTACAGAACTAAAGCCTAAATGTGGTTATATTTGGTTGTCAGAAAAAATACCTTCTATAAAGATTTCAGTTCCATTGAGTTAATGAGATGCACCTCAAATGTATTTATTTATATGCACACAATTGTCTGCTGAGTTCACATTGATATGATATTAACACTGATTCAAAAAAGGCATAATAATAAATTTTTACTTTGTTAATATATCTTTCAGAAGATGGTTGCCAATTGGTGTTAAATTTAATTAATTAAATGTACCCATGGTTCAATATGTTAAAGTCTCTGAGTAATTATTACTATTTAGGTTTAGAATATGGCACACACAATCTTTTATACTCCTTATTCATTAGTCAACATAGAAGCCTGCAGTGATTGCTATTTTTACCATTATCTGGACAACTGAGTAAGAGAATAGAATTTCTAAGATCATTTAAAATCTTGTATGTGCTTCATGCAATATCTAAGATGAGCCTTTCTGTGTAACAGTGGTAGGTCTTAGGCCCCAAGCTAGAAAGAAAGAGACCTGAGTATTATTTCCTTCTTAGGCATGAAAGCTGGTTTGGGTGATTTGGGTCAATCATTCTCTCTTAGCCCAATTTACCTCACAGGGTTGTTGTTGAAAGGAAAATAGGAGGAGAAAGGAGCATTAGGTATGTTGGCAAATTTGAGTTATTTATAAAAGTAATAAAAGCAGGATAAAACAAATAAATGTATGTATGTGTGAATGAATGAATATATTTTGCTGGCTGCAGAGTTGATTTACAATGCACAAACTTTTTTGCCTCTGTCTCTCATGCAAAAAATAGTTTGATTCAACAGCTATTGTACTCATTTTAATATCCATTTGCAATTTTGAAAAGTACAAGGAACATACTTGCTATAAATTTACTCAGAACTGAAGCTACATCAGAAGCTCTTTTAGGATGCTGGTACTAAATGCATAAGCATGATTGTATGTTTAAGGTATGAACTGGAGCTTACATGTGAAAGAATATATTATAAAACAAAACAGTATGAATAGGGAAAATATATATTAGGGAAAATAATTTATGTTTTTAACAATCAGGATGGCTGAGAAAGTAACATTAATCATTTGTTTTATTACTCATCTAAATAAATTAAACTGTGTTGATTTATGTTTTTATTTTTAACTTTCTGATTACAGGATAGAGCAATCAGGAGAACATATGGAGATGAACAGAATAGGAAGGATAACAATTTAAAAATATAAACTTCAGGAAGATTCGGGGAAAACACAATTAGAACCAAAAATTGCTAAATTAGAGGGCTGAGAATTTGAAAAAGTTATTATTCACCTGATTTGTAAAGCTCCTGTTAAATATAGTCTTGAAAGAACTATTTTGTATCATGACAAACCATTCTCAATTTTTGAACTATTCTTAAATCGTTACCTCAAAAATGTCAACTTACTGAGAAGGTCTAACCTTTTTTCCAAATTACAGGTAACCCTCAGCTTACGATCACAATTAAGCTAAGCAAGACAGTTGTTAAGTGAATTTTAGAGTGAAGATAATTGCATTAAGGATCATATTCCCTAAAATCCAAAAGATATAGAAATGCATAGATTGTTATTCACACTTTGGTTCAGCCTCATTCTCAATTACCTTTCTTTCCTTTCACTATCATTACGTAGCCAACTTTGATTAATTGTTTAAAATCTTAGCAGTATCCTGATAACTTTGCAATTCCTATCAGCTAGGATTGTCCCACAAAATTAACCCAGAAAGAACAGGCAGCCAACAGATGAAACAATGGCAACAAACAATACTAAAAAGGCCAACAATCCCATTGCTATAGGATAAATGTTGCTTACCAAGCATGGTAGGATAGATATCCACAAGAGACACCATATTTGATATGGACTGTGACTTAATATTTGGACCCATTATAAGGAGGGGAATATGGGAACTTGCTTCATACATGCTCATTTTATAAAACTGTCTGTGTTCCATTGCAAGTTCTCCATGATCTGCAGTAAATATTATGTGAGTTCTTCCAAGCAGTCCTGTTTCATTTAGAGCAGAAAGTATCTCACCTGTAACACAAGACAAGGAAAAACATTTTAAAATTAATTAAATAGCACTGATGTTTGCAAAGATTCCAAGGAATATTTTCTTGTTAACAAGGACATTTAGTGATGAGTGATCATTAAAGTTTTTCCCTGAAAGTTCTAAGTTTCTTTCAAAACTTAACATTACCAGATGTAACTGATTTCAAAAACTCTGAACTTGAAATACTATTTTGTGAAACTTAGACTTAATATCTATGGCAGTCCAAAATCTTAATAATGAAATAAAAGGCTTGTCTCAAAATTTAACTATCTCAAGATTAACTCTTAGGACCAGGTTATATTTTTCCCCTCAAATTTTACAAACTACATCACAACATTCAGGTACTTTTAAACATAGCTTTATATAACATAGCTTTATATCCAAGCTGACAATTAAAACAAAGTAATTGATGTTTCAGAGTCATTCCAAAGATTTGGCCCATAATATATTATGCATATGTAATTAATAAATAGTGAACATCATCACACCAACTTAAAAGCATATATTCTAATGATTAGATTGCTTCAAAGTCATAAGAGCAGATTATTATATTTTCTATCTAACACTTCATAGGGTTATGCTTTGCATCTTATTAATAAGTATGCTTTTCAACGTATAGAAGTTCTTTAAGTACATTTTAGCTGGTTCAAATGAGCAATATAATATCTGATTGTACTAGTTCATAACAAAACACGTGTACAGTATTAAATATTCCATATTACTGAACCTTACTTTAATATGATCAATTCCTAAATTAAAAACTATATAGTCCTGATTGAAAACTATATAAATAAAGGGTAACTTCTAAACAGCTGTTTATCTCGCATCTAATTTATTTCAGATGTTACCTATGAACTGTTTTTCTTGACCCAAAGAAATATCCTTCTTATAGAGGGTGCAATTGAAAGTATTCCAAAATATTAAAAATCTCCTCTGCTCTAAAGAACCAAGAAAGTCACTGATCTGTAATTGATAGGGGCTATGTATGGACATTTCCAGATAATAGTTTTGATATCATCATGTGAAGGATAATGCTGAATATTTTAACATGGCTGTATTGTATTCTTCATGAATCCATATAAGATACCTAAATAAATAAAGGAAAATGCAATATAAAATACCTTTTGGGAACAAAAGCTTCCAACAAATAACAGTTCTAAAATTTCTGACAATGTACAGATCAGGATGATAAGCATATTCATGAATGTATATATTATGAAAATAATAATCTGGTATCACCTACCAAGCATGGCATCCGTTTCTGCACACATGGCATAATAATGTGCTCGAATATTTCTGATTTCTTCCTGTGTAAATTGTCCACTGCAGTTCTTAGTGTAAGTAGAATAATAATCAACTGGATGCATCTCTGAAAATGGAGGCCATTTTGGAATCTTTATGGCATCATAAAACACCTTATAACAAAACAGAAATGTGCCATATTTGATAAAATAGCTCTATTGTGCATTTGCAATTTGTTGGCAATTTTCAAGTAGGTGCCAAAAGTAAGCATGATGATTGAAAATGAGATTACAAATGAGATTTTTCTTCCTAGAGTGGTAGGTGCACAGAAATGAAAAACTGGACTTTTTCCGAGAGGTCAGCTGCAGGCACTACTAGGACCCTGCAGAGCTACACCATCTTTTTATATGTAACATTTTTAATAGGAGAAAAGATGAAAAAATGATGAGGCAGTTACAAAGAGAAAACAGTGTTGTCTGGACTTTCTTTTGAAGTCTGTGAATGAGTAGGATAACAGTAAAAAAAAACTTGTTTGAAACTATTCCTGCAAACTTTTAATTTAATTACAAACCTAGATATGATGGGAGTGTCACAACACAGTTTAATTTTTAATTTGTAGTCTTAAAAATAACTTAATTCAAAAATACTCTTTTTGAAATGTTACTCAATTGCACATTTTTGTTACTCAAAAATGTTACTAAGGACAGTTGCCCCTTCCTCTGAGATTTACTATTTTGACAAGGGGGAAACAAACAAAGGAAACCAAAAGCAAGGGCAAAAGAGGAATCATATGCATTCTCAATAACACCCACTGAAACTTAACTAAAGAATAGCGTGAGGAATAGGAGCCAAACGAATTGGCCAAAAGAAGGGTTTTGAGGGAGGTGTCCAGTCTGATACTCAGTGGCCTGGAACATCAGTGCAAGAAGTCCTACAATCACTGCCGTGTCTATCATGGTTCACATGTCCTTTGAGAGACTCCATCTTTTTTTTTGTGCCAGTGTCAAACTTTCAGAAATTGTAAACTGAATATTAAAATTTATTTTCACAAGGTACTGGTGGTTTTAATGAAGTATTAATGTAGGCTTTTTGAAACATATTCTCATATCATGTAAATGTCTTATATATCTATAATGCATTCTCTGTCTGCAAAATGTATCTTCCTTGCTTATTGCATCTCATGTATCTGAAAACAAACCACATGCTTCAAAGCTGAATCCAGCTAATGTATTGCCTTAAAGACCATCTGCTTAGCAACACGGTGTACTATGAGAGCATCATGTTGATGCACTTTTCTAAGCTGAATCACCAAAGAAACAGAAAAAAATGAATTCATGCTAACTTCTATTCCATCAAGATGGGAAAACTCTGGAATGAATTCCATAGTTCCATCATTCCATAGTTCTCTCATTCCAACCAGTGGAATGGCTTGCCTTTAGATGCTGTGGCTGTTCCATCACTGGAGGCTTTTAAGAAGAGTCTGAACAGCCACTTGTCTGGAACGGTATAAGATCTCCTGCTTGAGCAAAGGGCTGGACTAAAAAACTTCTAAGATCCCTTCCAATTCTGTAATTTGGTTATTCTGAACTATTATTCCACATCTCAGCAGAACACTCAGCAGTTTGTAGCCACAGGCACCAATAGCAAATTGTGTTAAGAAAAAAAAGACAATCATTGTTTATATTTATATCATATGGGTTGCATTGTACTGTCAGGATGACAGTCCTACAGTTCTAACTCTGCTCAAGTTGCTCCAGTTAGAAAGCCATACTCGGATAAATCATTTACACTGGAGCTGGCACCTCAACTATATAAAAGTGCTGTGTTTGTCACTAGGCAACCTCATAGACAGAAAACAAGATGCTGTACTGGTTGATTCAGTAGGACTCCAATATCCTTAGATGAATCACTATAACAGCTAAGAAAATCAAGCCTTGAAGAGGGAGGGGAGATTTGGAGGAAAGATTACTTAGCTTTGAGACAAAGGCACTCAAAGTAACTCTGTCTTTATTTGTTTGGAATAAGAAAGGACAGAGAAAAAATTAAACAGGCTTTCAACATCAAGACCAACCCTGTCCAGGACTGTCCAGGTCAAGAAACAGACATAGCAGTGAGGGATGGGATAGATTGACCCTACAAAAAAAGTCTATGGTTGCTCTCCCATTATGATTCTCTTATAACATCATAGAAAATCTGTCTAGTTTATTGTTGAAGGAAAAAGGAAAAGAGGAGATTGATGAAGTATCTGATTGAAGTAACCTAGATTAAAGTAACTGATGGAAGTAACTCTAAATATTGCATTAATGTATCCATTTTTGGTATGTACCCTTCCAAAATTATTTTAAAAATGCTTCTGAACACTGCATGAGCAGGCATTACTGAGATATCATTATCATTAAAGCAGTCTGGGTTTTTCCAGTCTTCCAAAGCAGCTTGAAAAATAGTTGTCACTGCTTTAACAGTCATAGAGTTGACTCAAAGTAGTGGCATGTTTTCTTATAGTCATGCAGAAATCTGGAAAAAGCTTGAATGAATAATAGAAACCTCACACAAAGTCCAAAGATTTTTCCAAATCATTTCCGAACTTTGTATGGCCCTAACATAAATATACTTGTAGAACAACAATCCTAGTTCTTCCCAGTTTAAGAATGTTCAGAACTGAGAAACACTAGCAAAAATAGTGCTAAATTTACATCTTATACTGTCTGGGTTAAACATAAGAACAATGCTATAGTATATGAAAATACTATGAGAGAAAAATATGTCGTAACAATTATTTAATGGATGACATCTCACTAAAAGTCTGTCCTAACTATAAAAAATAAATATGTTACGTGAGGATACTTTTGTAGAGAAATTGTTTCACCACAGAGCTGCAGTGCCTTTCAGTAGCAGGAGCCATGGCAACAGGGCTAGAGAGTGTGGTAGCCATTGTAAAACATCTGGGGATAATTCATTTGGAATACAAATAAACAGGAACATTTGGCTCCTCTTCATGAAAATAATAACACTGACTGATTTTTATTCAAGTTAGCAGCTGGATTTTTCCAGCTTTAAAATAGAAAATGTAAACCAGTAGAATTACATTTTCTGTCCTAGCAGACAGCAATCATCATATAAAGAGAAGGCAATGCAGTTTCTCTAAGGATCAATCAAAGAGTCAATATTGTAGCTTATTATATATAACAAGAAACAGATTGGCAATGCAAAGTCTATACTAATAAACATCATAATTGCTCAGTTTATAAAATGACATTATCACATGCAACTCATACTAACTGTGGCAGCTGGTTCTATTTTTTTCTTGTGGGAACATTACCGAAGGGACTACAAAATCAGCAAACATTTTCATTTCAAAAATTATATGGGCATCAGTCACTAGTCAATATAATATATCTGTTGCCAATTTAAATCCTTTAAGTTTCAACCACACATACACATAAATGCCCGTTTTCAAAGAAAATGCTGTTGCTACTATGCTTACATGTCTAACCATTCATAATCCTTCACCTGTGAAACAACCATGTTTTCTTGTGAAGCAAAATGCATTGGCCACACTCACTCTCCCATCCTCCTCCCGTCTTCCACATTTAATCCCATTAATGACTTTAGTGTGGAAGCTTTTTCCAGACAGCAATCTTCCTATACCGCTCTTTAATTTGTTGTACACAATATATGATGGTGGATGGATCCAGATTTAGATGCTTTATAAAAGGATTATTACCAAATTTTTGCCCAGTATTTCCTTCAGTCTCCTAATATTACTCAGCAGGTAGCACCCACAGCAAACTATACTGCTAGCATAGGTGTTTCAGAATTGCTGATGATACTAGTGAAACAATTATGCCAAACTATTTTGCTAGAGCAGATGAGCCCTATTTGGCTTCCAATAATATATCACAGGTCATTTTAGAAGTGTTGGCTTATAATCATGCCAGATCTTCATCTAGGCTAGCTAAGGGCTGACTTAGTTGAGGACGACATTGAATCCAACCCTGAAAATACCAGATTGTGGAAGGCTGATCTAATAGCATGGTCAAAGTCCCTCAGCCAGAGAAGCTTTGGACTAAGTACTATTTCTCAGCCCAAACTACTTCAGAGGATGTTGTTGTGGGGAAAACCTGGGAGGAGAGAGTATTATATACACTACCTTGAGCTCCTGAAGAAAAGGAGAGCCGTAAATTAGTCAGTCAATGAAATGAATAATAAATATTAGATTGAGATTGACATGTACTAATAAAGAATCAGCTGACAAAGAATTATTTAATCTTTTTCATATGCCATGTGTTAACATATTTAATTTGATAGCTGGAACAATAAAGTGTATAATAGGCCAGAAGTTGATTGGTTGGAGAGTGTGGGCTCCCACATAAGGCAATCTACGTTATGATTGATTGCTGGTTGTAAAGGGGAAGTTTCCTTTTTTCTCGCCTTTTTCTTCTGTATGATGTTCTGTGATTTACCTTATGATTTACCTCATGATATAGTGATGTACCTGACTATCTTATTTGATGTAAAATATTTATATATATATAACTACAAGTTTGTGCCAGTGTCTCTGACTTCATTTGGACACTGGTTGCACAATTCCCTAACACCATGTATATACATACCCTCTGTAGCCAATATGGAGATGTGAGAAATGTGGATGCCCCATAATTTTCTCCTGAGGATGGTGAAGGATATGGGTGAGGCAAATTTAGTCCAAGGTACAGAGCAAAGGGCTGTGATAGTTTAGTTGCATTATTTTTTATCCAATTTGCTGCTTCTTCAGTAACCTTCCAATCTTTTTGCATAACTCTTATGTATGTCTTGTTACCTATGAGTTTAGCCACAGGTCTGCCTTCTTGCTGAAGCAAAAAATCAACATCTCTGGTCCAAGCCTCCACACGGTTGCTGAAAATAAAAAGAGCTTTCAAGATATGCTTTTTAATCAACACATAATTGCACACAAATTACCCACGATTATGATGCTGGCTTGTTTTTATTAACTATTGCTGCAGTTAAACATGTTAGGCTGCACATGTATATATAACCAAACTACACTTTTTCTAAAATTTCTACATTCCTATTTCTTTCGCAGCAGCTACAGAAGCAGAAAGCAAAGGTAAGAACGTATGAGCCTGAGGCCAGCTGTGGTTCACAGAATCACAGAACTAGAAGGGACAACAAGGATTATCAAGTTCAGCCTTCAAATATCATCCAAACCTGACTAGTGGCCAACAGAGATTTAAGCAACTATTAGTTTCCACGGAAACAAGAAAGTGACTGCAAAACAAAAGCAGTTTCTGAAGAAGATTCCTTTCTGCTCCCAAACTTTGTTTCATCCTGTATCCATATATGTAAATTTCCCATGCCCCCCCCAAAGGGCTAGGCAACTGCCCCATAGTAAACTGTAAGATTATCCCTATTCTGTTTTTTTAATCAAAAAGTGAATAATCTCTACTTCATATGATAGTTTACTAGCTACCACAAAAGTCACGTGACCTAAATCTCTGCTAAAAAGTTATCTATTGTGTTTCATTACATCATGCAAACCAGACTGTTTAGAAAGATTTCTGCCAGGGGCAGCTTCCCACAGAATTCCTAAATAAAAGGGTTTGCTTGATTGGTTGTTATATTACTTTAAGACGAGAGTGTCAAACTGCCGGCCCACGGGCCGGATGCATCATGCCAAAATCATGTCCACCCCATTGCCGGCAATGGAAAAAAAGTTGCGATACGTCGCGACACGTCACGTAACGTTGCAAATTTGACACCCCTGCTTTAAAACATTATTTGGAGTTATCCTTTCTGGAACAGAAAGACATTTTCCTATATTTATTTTTATTCTGCTTCATTTCAAATGAAAGGGTTGCTTACAAAGCAATCAAAACAACAGAGCAGGTTACACAAAGGATACACAAAATCCAATACTCTACAGTTTTACAGTAGGACAAGTTAAGGGAAAAGATTGGTGGATTTGTTTCGATCTGATAGCCTCTACCTATAGAAAAAACAACCATTAGTCACTCTCCCTAACATCTTTAACGTAGGTTGGGGCAGGGCTAAGTGAATGTAGACAGATGATTTGAATAGCAGCTTTATTAATTAAGTAATTCTAAATCCATTTTGAGAATATCCACATAATCATTTTTTAAAAAATGAAAAATATTAAGCATTTTATAGGCTTTATCCCATACATCTTTTAAACATGTATTTACAAACTACCAAACTAAGAAAACAAAAAGTGTAGAAAATAAAAAATTAATTAAAAAGAGATTATATAAAAAGTAACTTCTCTCTTTATTACAAGCATAAATAATTTTAGTAAATTGTCTATTTCTCAAAATGCAACAAAAATCTCTCCTTTGCCTATCTCATTGCTTAACTATAAACAATCTAAAAGCCTTATCATTCATTTCTTATCAGCAAATGTCCATTAAGAGTTACCAGAAATAACTACAAATCTATTGTAATTTTGATCAAATAAGACAACTCTATATTCTTTCCCAATCTCGATTTTTAATGACTTCAAATAATTTCTTAGAACTTGATTTCATTATTTTTGTCCCCTCTCAAATAATCCTTCAAGAATTTAATAGCTCTTTCGTACATCCAATAAGAAAAGGTTATCCAAATCACAATTTTTGTTGGTTACTTTACGTCCCTTTTAAATATTAAGACATCATCCAGTTTCATTTGTATATCTAGTATATCAATTTTCTCCATATCATTCTTGTAATTTGTCATATTTAAATACTTTTGCAACAATTTCAGTTTTATTATATAGCTTGTTCCTCTGTAATATCGCTAACCACTTCTATGGTATCAGATATTATTAAAATTAATTTCTGAGGCCATTGTTCAAAGATATCCTTAAAAATATCCACTGTTAAGGTATTTTGCTCCATTCTTTGATAATGTCAAGCTTAATTATTCTTCACCTTTAATTATAATATTTATGTTCTTCTACTTCCCTCTAGTGTCCAACCTTCAAACTCCCTTCCTATATTGATTTTTTTCCAAAGAACCTTCTCACCCAAAAAACTACAGGAACATTTTTTAAAATTAATTTCAAATTTTTATTCTAAATCAATCTGGACCCTAAGTCCATTTTTAACTCTATACACTATTTTGCTATTTATTCCAAAAACTAATATTTTTTCAAGTCCTTAAAATTGTTTTTAAAACTTCTTTCTCTAAAGCAGTGGTTCTCAACTTTTTTAATGCCGCGACCCCCAACCAGTCGTAAGTCGAAGACTACTCAACCGGTCATAAGTCGAGGACTACTCAACTGGTGCAGCACCGTTTGCAGAATGGGACTTTTGGCGGGCTCAGCAGGGCAGAGACAGCCTGGACAATTCCTATTGGCTTTTGAAAGCCAATAGAATTAGACTCTATTCAAGAGAGTCTATTCTATTGGCTTTCAAAAGCCAATAGAATAAAAGGGAGTAGCACAGCTAAGGAAAAGGGGAAAAAAATGGCGGACTGCGTTGTTTGGCGACCCCCATGAAATGGTCGTTCGACCCCAAATGGGGTCCAGACCCACAGGTTGAGAACTACTGCTCTAAAGCTAAGGAGACTTCCCCAGTGAATACAATAAAAACTTGTAGTACTGTAGGGTCTTAATATTTCCTGTTCTGGACCTCGTATAGCTCTATGTAACCCTAACTAGTGAACATGTATCAGTATGTTAGAATATCTAGCAGTTATTGGGTTAAATGCTAGGTATGTTGATGGGTCAGTGGGAGGAATCTCAAAAGGTCATTGGTCATTGGGAGACTTCCTGGACACAAGCCAGATGGGAATCCTTTGTTCATCCAGCCTCATGTCTCCTAGCCACACGGATTGGAGATCCTTTGCCAATATGTGATGATTATCAGAAGAGGGGAAAATTCAATATCAATTTACCTATAGGAATGAACAGATAGGAAAGGCCAGATGCATCTACAGCATAGTAAGTCTCTGCTTAGAATTCCTGGACAATAAATATTTGTTATAAAATCATTTCTATCGAGTCATCTGTCTGTTTTAGATTAAACTCAAAGCAATGTGTTCTGTCTGGAAAAGAACAGTAAATTGATAGGATTCAAAAGCAATAAAAATAGACTCAAAGGTGATTAAGAAATGAGACTTGGTCAAGCTTTTTTCCAAGGGTTGCGTTATGAGCAATATCATCATGGCACTCACCAGAAATCACATTTGAACACTTACTTTTACTTCCCTGAAATTCTCAAGGACTGCATGCAGCTCTAGAAAAAAGTTTGTTGATGTTATGCTTTCATTATTTATATCACTATTCCTACCACTGAGCAAATAGACATACCAGGCTGAATTCTATCAGGTAGTAAAATCTCTCTGTATTAATTTTTGTATTATTAGGACTAGCCTAATATCCAGACAAGATTTGACATAAATACTACATAAAATATGAAGTTGGACACCAATTACAACTTTAAGGAATGTGCAATCTGCAATGCTGAATTAGTACAAAATATATGAGAGGCATTTTCATACATACCTGCCTTCATTCACTTCATACTTCAGATATAAAGCACATTTTTAAAAGGAAGAATGTATACTGGTAGTGCAACAGCACTAATGGAAACAAACTTCTAATTCATTTTTTTAACTATAAATAGAAATCATTTCATGAGGTTGGAGTGGAAAGGAATAGTTAGTCACAATAGTTATTCATCTTAAGAATTATATCTCAAACAATTTTTACAGTAGCCCTTGACTATGAGACACTTTTTAATGCTGAAAAATAGAAACACTGAAAAGCATTTAATCAATTAAAAGAGAAACAATAAAACAATCCAGATTTCATCAAAAAAAGCCTTGAGATATATTTCATTCTTTACTCACCTTAAGGAATGATGTCCAGAAGTATAATCTAGTTTTCCATATTTTTTGGTGTAGTAGCCTTTCTTTTCCATAAGGTCCATCCATGTTCTATAATTTGGATCTAAGCCCTTGAAGTTGTTCCAGGACTCCGTTAAGTGAGTGAAAAGGCCACTCCACATGGCTAAAAAAATATTAATAAAACAATGCATTTACACAACTGTCTTCTTCACTTGGATGGCAGCCCATAAGGCAAGAATTTTGAAGATTAATTTCTTGCCGCTTCTATGGAACAATACTGTGCAAGCTCCAGGAGAACTCCTATAGCATGAAAATCCATCAAAATATTATCTCTCTCCTTTCTCAAGGATGGAATATATTTTCTCTGTAGGTCCTTTATTTTTGTTCTGTCATTTACCCAAATATTGCCTTTTTATGTATAATTTTACCTGCACGGGATGGACAGCAAATGGGGGAATTGGTGTAGGCATTAAGAAAGAGACTGCCTTGCCTCCTCATGAGATTTATAAAAGGCAAAACTACAGTTTCATTTTTGGGGGAAAATGTTAGCCTTCCGTCCTGCAGGAAAAGAAAAAAATGACAATGTGGGAATGCATTTGGAGATTAAGGAGTATTACAAATCAGTGGCTAAAATGTGCAATTTATGTACTGTATTTATTTTGTTGAAAATTAGATATTTTAGATATGTTTTTAGGGACAAAAGAGAGCCAGCTTTATGTAGGGGTTAGGGCACCAGGGTATAAAGTGGGAGATTCTGAGTTCTAGTCCTGCCTTAGGCAGGTAACCTTGGGTCACGTACTCTCTCAGCTCTGGGAAGGACGTGATGCCAAATCACTTCTGAGATCTTGCCAAGAAAACTGAAGGGATTGATCCATGCAAATCAATTCTGACTCAAAGGAACAATAACTTTACCACACCATCATTTAACCCTAATAGGTCAAAAATTTTAAATTTCTTGCTAGAGTTCCTTAAAATAATATTACAGAAGGAATTCTAATTGAGAATATTTTCTGTTCTGCCTACTTCCTGTAGATATTGGAACTGAGAAATATCCTTTCGTTGTAGCCCGAAGTGCTAACAGTTCTGATAATTTAATGAATCCAATCACTCATTTGTTCAGCCTAAGAAAGACACTATGATTTTCTAAAATTTTGCAGTTTACATTGTATTTTAAACACGGTGTTTATGGAGACTCAATCATCCAGGTCATGGTTGTCCCAAAGGTGCTTTTTCCAAAGGGCAACTGGATTTTCTTGGTTTTTTGTTTTTGAAAATGTTTCAGAGTGAAATGTTTTCAAAGAAAAAACCAAGAAAGTCAGTTGCCTTTTGGAAAAAGCACCTTTGGGTTAAACAAGGCATGTTTAAAAGCTTTTGTCTTTCAGTGGGATTCCATGAGACCAATCTGACATGCGCTCAGGCAACTGTCATTTTTGCTAGCAACTTCATGGATAAAAGCCAAATAGCCATGCCTAATTTTTTTTCTAATCCTAATCACCTTCTCACCACTGTTTAAAAACACAGAAAAACTTACAAAATATCTCACACTCAACCTATTATTTTATTAGTTGTGTTGGTAGGCCCCCTAGTGTACACAAAAAACTGTTTGAAATGTTTGCACAACTTGTTTCCTCATTCTCACTATTCCTACCGGTATGATCCCATTTGGGAGGGCAGTTATCTTGGAAAGATGTAGCTTTATACAACTTTATGCAATGGAAGTTCATTACATTGGTTCAATGGGCAAACATTTATAGGCTTGCAGTTTACATAGTGGATATACTCAAAGTACTTGGATAAAATGTAGCTATGTTCACATTCCGTGCTAATGGGGCAGTAGGTGTCTGCTTCAAATGAGAAGAGACATAAAGGTGAAGCAGCCAAAAGAGACATACAATAGGCGAACTCTTCAGAACACAGTGCTCCCTGATGTGGAATTACATCTTCCATTAATCTGATCCTACTTGTGTCATCACCCCTTCTTTCCCTTCAATCAAAGTCAGTAGAAAACAAAATTGTCTAAATAGCCTTTTAAAAGAAAACAAAATACTTACAAAAGAATCGCACATCACCAGCACAACATTAGGCTTTTCACAAGCACCACAGCGCTCTTTAGGACTGAGCAAAGGCCTTGCCTCTACAGGTCCCCAAGGAACAAATCGGACCAGCAGAAGGCACAAGCTAACTATTATATAGTTTGTAAAGCAGGCGGATTTTCTCCTTCCTTTATCCATTTTAAGCATCTTCCTTAAGATCAGAGCAAAGGATCCAACCCCTTCCTTCAGAATTCCTTCTCGGAACCATTTTTACTTCGCACAGCCAGGCAAACGATCTTCACTTGACTGAGCCTGGGAAGCTCGTGACCAACTAATAACACTATTAGGCCAGGGGAGGGGGGGGGGAAACAGTTGCACTATGGAAAACTACCACTCCCATGATACATTGCGAAAAATTAGTTAATGCCAATCCCTTTGGTAAATGAATGCGCTAAAGCTGTCTGCCTGTTCAAGGTTAGGAATATGCAAAAAACTCATCCCTTTTTACCGTGCGAAAGGCGGGGGAAACTGGAAAATAAATGTTTTTTAAAAAAGAGGTACTCTGGCGAACCATAGTGTAATGCGACGAAGGAAGATAATTACAGCGCAAATTATAATTACAGTGTAATTTGTAATTTACAGACCACGGACCATTGTCTGCGAAGAGAGGACCTACGCATAGGTTATAATAAAAAAATAGGAACCAGAATACTTGTGCAGTAATGTCCTGTCCTCACTACCTAAAGATAAGACTCCAATGCAAGAATGTATGCTTCGTGTAGAAAAAAAAGAACTCAATCTTCCAGGTGAAATTTTGCAGCATAAATTTTTCCCCATAAACGATTGCGTGCATTTCTCGCAAAGTAATCCAGAGGTAAGAAAATCAGTAAGATGAAAAGTGCATTACATCCAATAGTAAAAGGGAATTTATTCTCCCCAATTAGTTTAGAAGTGAAAAGTTCTAAACCGTACAATGAGAGTAACTGCGTGGAATCTAGAAACGTTTCCGCCAGTGAACCACAACTCCCATCACCGCGCGAAAACTGAACCAGGCAACCTCGCGTGGTTGCCCTCTGACGTCAGGGACAAGGGAGGGGAGCTTTAAAAAAATTAAAAACTCAGCGCGCCTGCGCAGTTTTTTGCGAATTTGAGGAAATAATACTTGGCTGCTGGTATTAGTAGTTTTCCTGGGCGCAGCGGCAGCTGGTGAGTGTCCCTGTTGTGCGACCCCGGGCGAGGGTCTTGAGCCCTCGAGCGCGCTTTTTCTGCCATTGTGCCCGATTTCGGCTTCTTTGCAAAAACCCGATGAATCTCGCGCTTAATCCGGTTTGCGATTTCGTTGGGGAAAGCGAAACGATCAGGCTCGCAGCGCAGTTCTGAACGCCGCGTCCCCCACCCTCCTCCATGTGTCCACGGCTCCCTTTGATACGTGGCCTTTGGCCTTGTCTTAGGGTGGTTCCAATGGAGGCCTTTTTTTTTCTTTTTTTTTTCTTTTTTTTTTTTTGCAACGGTGACATTTCTCATCCCAAACATTTGGTGCAACGTCGACTTCCATTTATAACTCTGGCTTTCCCCATCATTTTTCTTTCCCAAAAAGTCTGTTAAGGAGAAAAAACTTCACAAAGTATTTAACTGATAAAGACATTTATTGTGGAGCTATCCTACCTATTGCAAGGAAAGCAGGACATTTCTGCAATGAAAACTTTGTCTGGAAGATCCCTAAAGAAGCGTACTGAATCTTCATTCTTGGTTATAAACTTTGCATGTAGGGTACATGTCATCGCATTTGCCATGTACTTTTCAACCCGTGCCTTATATTTTCCTCCCGTAGTTGTTTTCCTGTTAATTATATAAGACTCGAGACAGAGACATTTGTTTTGTTGTATATGTAATTGTGAAGGTCGTTATGGGCATTTTTAAAGTATAGCTATTGATTACAGTGATGATCTTAGTATATGTGTACTAGCAAGTGTTGGCAAACAGAATTATAAATTCAGACGATAGCAGTTTAAATGTTTGCCCACACAAGATTCAAAGAAATTCCTAATTCCCTTCACATCTCTAACATACTTGTAGTTATGTTGGTTTACATTATAAGTTGCTTTTAACAAATAATATAAAATATTTTGAATACTCTGGCTGAAGGGTTCCCTCTGCAGACCATTAGAATAATACTTCTAGAGAAGGTCTACTATTGAGAGATCTCTGAAAGTGAAAGACATGCTTTATTCAAAATGCTTAATTTGGCTGGGCTGAAAAGAAAGAAGCAACATAGTTGTGGGGGAAAATAAGCAGATGAAATAATGTTTTTTGTTTATTTTGTCATTTCTCTCATTGAACTAAAAAACACTAAAATTTTCTTTAATTGCCAAGAAAAGAAAATTATATTAGCCCAACATTCCAGAGCTCATATGCATTCTACAAATTCTGAAAAATGAAGGATGAATGGGAAGGTATAGGTACCCAAAGCAGGGAGACATATGACAGAGTACATATGTCACAATGCAAACTCTGGAATTTACCTGCTATAGTTACATCTGATATTAGGATGCAAATACAAAAGGCCAGAGCCTGTGTTATTGCAACAAAGGTTTCATTATTTTTTTTATCACCACAATTATTCTGGATTATGGGTCCTGTATATACTCTCTAGTTGTATTCTCTTATATATGGAACAGTATGTCCTTGATAAAAATGTTTCTTTTAACCTAGCTATGCTGCTGAGTAAAATACTATACTGTATTACTTTACAAATATACATCAGATGTCTTCATATGTATCAGTAACTTTCTTAAATTAATATTACCTGTAGTCATGTCAAACAAGGAAGTGAAAGCAGCATTGAAAAGTGCCAGAGATGCAATAAGAAATAAGGAGTATAAAGAAGCACTGAAACATTGCAAGGTAATCAATAGTCAAAAGGTTGGCTACATTAAAACATTACAATATGTTCATAGTACTGTAATCATCTTTAATGCCATTTCAGGAATATCTTCACTCTACAACAAACTTGTATAATTATTTTTCTTTCTCTTTTGCTGTATATTCTTTTATCTGCTGCCATACTATTTTTTCTGCAACAATACCTTTCTTATCCTATCCTTTGGGATTTATTTTCTCTTTATAATTAATATAAAATTTCCTGGTTCATCCTATTAAGCCAGAGTTTTATTTAACCTACTTTGTTGAATTAGCCGCAATCACTTTACAGACTACTTTGGAACATATTAAGCCACAAGGAAGCATATGGCATTACAACATTTAGCATCATTTTTGAATCTAACCACTGAGCTAGGTTGTTAGTTTATTTGTTTGTTAGTTTGGCAGGCTGTTTTTCCACCAGCACTTTTATATATAATGAAACTTCGAAATTAACATCCAGAACATATTTCTTGTTATCAAGATTTTTGCATAGTTTTAGATGCTACCCCAAAGATGCTTTTTTATGAGGCAACTGAAGACGTTTCACTTCTCATCCAAAAAACTTCTTCAGCTGAAGCTTCTTGGATGAGAAGTGAAACGTCTTCAAAGAGAAAAAAAGAAAGTCCAGTTGCTCATGAAAAAGCACCTTTGGGACAACCATGACCTATATGACGGAGAATCTCCATAGACTTTTAGATGTTATATAAATTCTGGATTTTGGGGTAAGGCAATACACAGTCTAAGACAGGGGTGTCAAATTCAATTTCATTGAGGGCCGCATCAGCATTGCGGTTGCCCTCGGTGGGCCTACTAGATAGGCGTGGACGTAGCCTACTGGGTAGGCGTAGATGGAGTGGATGTGGCCTACTGGGTGGGCGTGGCCAGCTCTACATCATTTGCGTCAAGGATGTCTGTGGGGGCCTGGGCAGGAGTGGGACAGATCTGACGGTCTCTGGCAGAAAGGGGTGGGACCAGGGCAGAGCCCAACAAGCCGGATATGTGAAGTAGGCAAGGGTCATTTGCTGGCCACTTCCAGGTGATGGTGCATTTTTTTCATTCCTCATAAAGGGTGACACCTCCCCAGCATGCACCCAGGGGGTAGGGCCAATGTGACGGGCTGGTTCCTTGCTGTTTCCAGACGACCTTGTGGAGCTACGACTGAATGCATTTTAACATAGATGGCCACCACAAAATTGTACATTGGCTCTCGGCTGGCCTGGGCCAGGGCCAAGGCAGCAGGGGCCATTCCCTCACTGTTTCCAGGATGGCTTCGCAGGCCACATGAAACCACTTTGCGGGCAGCATCCAGCCCCCGGGCCTTGTGTTTGACATGTCTGGTCTAAGACAATGATTCTGAATAAGACTTTTTAAGTTGTTAAATCATTTAATAAATGTGTATCTGAATTGCAAAAAGAATAGTTTAATATTTTCACTTGAATTTCTGTTTAATAGGCAGTATTGAAACAAGAAAAAAATAATTACAATGCTTGGGTATTCATTGGCCTGGCGGCTGCTGAATTAGAACAACCTGAACAAGCCCAAGGTGCATATAAGAAGGCTGCTGAACTTGATCCTGGGCAGTTGCTGGCATGGCAGGTATATATGACATTAATCCCATTTTTTATGCAAACATGTTTATATGAATGTAAACATATCTGTTTATGTGAATAAATTGTAGATCTTCAGAAAATATAATAGTATGGTGAACTCAAAGATTAGAAGCCTCCCCCTCTTTTTTTCCCCTTGGCTAATAGCTCATTTGCACATGTGCAATATAATGTTATTATTTAAGATGCTGTGTATAGCTCGGCATTATAAATTCTTCATTTTCAGCCCCAGAATAGAGCGCTCTGGTTTTTGGGTCAATGACAGTTTTTCATTTCTGTTGCAAATCAAATCATTGGGAAACAGTTAGCAGTTAGTACCTTAAAAGATTATATTGATGGTCCTCGGCTTACATCCATTCCTTCAGTGACTGTTCATAGTTATGGCACTGAAAAAGTGGATGTACAACCAGTCATCAAAGTTTCCACCTGGGAATGACTCAGGTGGTAACATAATCATGATTGGGGCACTTGGGTGTCTGGCTCCTAATTACAATGTCACAAGTAGCCACGGTCACATCATCGCCATTTGTGATTTTCCCTGCTGGCTTCCCACAAGCAGATCAATGGGGAAATCACCTGAGATGTCACAAGTTGCTCTGGTAAATCATTCCTGCTTTTCCTATGGCCTGTAGCACCCCTGTGTATGGCCTACGTCAGCCCTCCCAGATCCGTCCCCAACTTCATGCAGTTTTTTAATGTCCTGTTCCAGCTCTCCCTTGGTTTCCTCCACAACCCACTGCACCCATGCACTCCTATACCCCTGCATTCCTTCCATGGAACTCCTCCTTTTCCTACTTAATG